TCTGTTCTTGGTAGTCCTTTACTTGTTCCCCTTCCAGCTTCTGAAGTCTTCCTCTCCTTTTTGCTGTGTTTTTGTGGTGTTTTTTTTTCAAGTCAGCAATTAAATACTTCACACTAAAAAAGTTTCCTACTCCCACATTTATCTTTTTTAAGCTACCCCTAAAAAAAGTTAAAAACCTGTTAACTTTTTTCTCTCCAAAATTAGCACAACTAAAACACAACCATAATCCCTCAGCCACAAAAAAACACCCAGAAAAATATCTAGTTTTTCTTTCTTCTTACTTTGCCATCCTGCTGCTCTTCAGGCAAACCAGAACAAAACTGTAGCCCAACAATAAAAGCAATATGTGAAATAATAACAAAGCCTTTCCCAGCCCCCTTTTAAGCAGGCCTCACCCAGCACTGAGGCTATATAAGGGGATAGGGTCTATTATTTTCTTCAGGTGTGGGGGCTATACCTCTGACAGGTGATGTGTAGGCTAGGGAAGAACTTTCTTAGATACTCTTAGAAGTTTTTAAGATGAGGCTATTATTGTTTGTTTTAATAGTTTTTATTTTTGAAGGTAGAAAAATTAGTAAATGTTTTTTTATGTATGCTGAAAAAAAAGTGTTTTGGTAGCTTGCTTTGATATATTGTCATTAATTATTTTTGCTAGAATAGTTTAAGTTGATATTTTAACATATTTTTCTTTCTTTTTATTAATGGTTAAACAAGTTTTGTTTGCTTAAATAGTCTCATGTTGGGTATGGGGGATATTAATTTAGCTAAACTGAGCGTACAACTTTTACTGCTTTCCAATTTGAGTCAGTTTCCAAAGACAATATTTTTTTTCCCCTTGAAGGGCTAACAATTCTCATTTTAATAGGGAAATTTAAGCTGGAGAAAATTGTACAGTTAATTGGGATTTTTTCTTCTTGTAAACCCCACCCTGCTGACCTGCCATCTGGTAGTACTCGCAGTAAATGCAATAATGAGAAATTTTAGCTTTAACAAGATTTAGTAGCAACTGGGGTTGTCTCACTACTTGTTGAACGTGTGCAAGACACTCTTCCTACTGTGGAGTTATATAAAAAACTGTTTAAGTCCAATGGCATTTGTCACAGTAGAAAAAAGTGCATTATGTGTGATGGACTCTTCAAAGTGTTTTTTTATTCTACAAGTTCTCTCTCACTGCTTCAGAAACCGCTGTGATACAAAGGCTGTCCTGGCCATTAGCTTAAGTTAGCAATGTTCTGCTGTATTGCTCATCTGCTTTGCCCAAGAGCACTCTTTTAATTGCATTGAGCTGGGATCCCACTGTTGCTCTAGCATTTGGTCCTTGTCCAGAGGCTTGTAAAAACCTGAAACTGAAGCATGGCAATCTCTTACCAGCTTGCTGCTCTCAGATTGGGAAGCTGAGTGTACATTTGGTGTGTTTGTAGATGGGAAGCTCCTCTCAGATGGAAAGCTTTGATTTGCTGAGTGGGAGGAGACTCAAATTGACACATTCCCCCTTCTGTGCTGGGTTTACCCCATTCGGTGTAAATGATTGCTAGTTTAAGCACTAGTCTTGCAAACTCCTATGGTTTAAGAAGCCATTCTATTGGGCTTCAGTGACAAAGACCCTATAGGCAAAGGACAGCAAGTGACTAACAAAGAGACTTCATTAATAGCTGAGCAATCGCATCAGACTGCCAGCTCACCTGTGCAATTTCTGTTAGTCAAGGCTGCAGCATGAGTCTAATCAGAGCCACAATTTGGGAACATAATCGAGACCTTAACAGAAGCCACATGAATCAAGATCAACATCCAGCTCTGCTGTGCTGTCTGCTTTTAGCGGTCTAATGAGTGGGTGTGAAAGCATGTGCCCCAGGAACAGGGAGGTGGTGAGAAGGGGGTACTGTGTTTTTAGGGTTACTTTTACCATAGATTAGTAAGGCTCAGAGTTCACAGGCTTGACAGTACATGATGGGCAAAAGCTAGTGGATGAAAAAACACCCCCCTCCTTTGAAGGATGTGGCTTTCAGAGTACAAAGCAGTTAGTTAAAGATAAGCATTGGAGAGCAGAGGGGTGGACTTTATCATCATCAGCTGTCGAGTGGGAGGTGTGTTTTCAAAAGCAATGAGAAGAGAGGGCAGAGTCCTGCTGTGCATTAATCCGTGATATATCCTGTGTTCCAGGGTGGTGCAAAATCAGATGCCTGGATTGGGTGTGAGGCAAGGAGCCATGTCCACCTGCAATGAGGAAACAGCAGCATGCACGGGTGTGGAAGAGGCCAGGCAGCCTGATGAGTAAGTAGTAAGGAGGTCAGGAGCGCTTTGAAACGGAGATGCTCAGGCTGCATGTGTGTGTATCCAGGGGTGGATTATTCCCAGGGGACCGGACCTATGACTCCTGTATCGCTCTACCTGCCTAACGCTCCAGGGCGGCAGTGTGATTCCTCCAGGCACGGCTGATGAAAGATCTTCCACAATGGTCTGGAGATGGGTTTCACCCTGCCCATTGTTTATTTGACCAGCAGAAAACTTGGAGCATGCAGCTTTCTGTGGGTTAAACAAATGGTTATTCCCACACGTGGTGACTGACTACTTTTAAAAAGTGTGGTGTAGGAGCTGTGCAGTATTACCAATATTAGCAATCCAAGAACCCCTATGTAATCCCAGGGTGATAAACCAGAGTGAATGCACGCTGGATCCAGTAGGGAAAGCTTTTTGCAGTTTCAGACTTCCTAAGAGTCGCTTTATAATTTAAAAATTGGAGAAAGGAGCTTGTCTGTGTCATCTCAACAGGCAAACAAACAGTGGTCACAAAATGATTTCACAACTTCTTGTTAGACTGCTGAACTACATAATACTAGGGAGAGAAAACTGCTCTGAAAAAAATGACAGACAAGATCTGCAACAGCGTGCAGAAAAAAAAAGCGCTACTTAGATTTGCATCATGGAGAAAGGTCATGGAAAGGCTGTAAAATGAGAATCCCAAGGTAGCACTGTCCTTCTCTGTCTTAGCAACACTGGAGATAGTAAGGGGAAAATCTTATTCTTTGGAAGCTGTAGATGGCTGTGGAGTAAAAGTATGCTCCCCACCAGACAGCTTTAGTCAGCTCACAAACTTTTTTCATTTGGGGTTTCTTCCCTGAAGCTCACTGTACTTAAAGGCTCTGATGGCATCCCTGATACCCCTGTCAACAGGCTGCTTTTAAAAGCTTCTAGCTGAGGCTCATGGAAGTCTTTAGCGAGCCCTTTCCCAAGGGAGCCTGGTGCATGATGTGAATTGTGGCAATGGCTCTGGATGTGGTGGAGAAGCCTTCAGCATTTTACCAGACATCAGCCACTTTGCATGCTGGTGCTGATCTAGGCTGTAACCTGCTCTGCCCTGGTTTCCTGAGCTCTTTCCCCTGTGAAAGGAGAAAACCAGGCTGGGAAAAGGCCACAACCTTTTGTGACCACAGAGTCAGGCAGAGTAGTTTTCATTCTGCAGGAAGGAGTTCCTCCCTCAACCCCAAAGCAAAAAGGAGACCTCAATTAGTGCTTGAGCAAGGACTCGAGGCATTCCCCAGCATGTGTGTTATGCAAGGGTCAGGTTCTGCTGCCCTGATTCCCGTTCCTCCCCGAAACTGCAGGCATTTGGGCACATGCCTCAAATACAAGAGCACTCCCACCTACTGCGCTGGTCTGCCCCAAAGCATCCTGCTGAAGCAGCGCCAGCAGGGCTAGTTTCACAAGCACCGACACCCACTGGTCCTATATCTGGGGTCACCCAGCAGCAGAAGCATCAACCAGGCAGTGATGTACCCCTGTCTCATGTATCTTAGCTCTCTTGCTGCCTTCATAAAGGGTGTATAGGAGAGCTGGGTTAGGCACAAAATTAACCTATTGCAATTTTTGACTGTTTAGTAGCTCATTGATGTTAAATCAGACAGCAGATTATGTTATATGACCCACAGAATCCACTGAGATTCCTAAAGCCAGCTTGTTGTTTGTAAGCTCTCAGGAATGACTGCACTGGACATCTCTTCCCTGCACCTGGACCCCCAGTCCTACCCAATCCCATCACATAAACATCTGTGAGGCAATTTAGGGCTGGGGTCTCTGGGAAAATGCAGCTCTTATTATGAAACTGCCTTCCCCCTACAAGCCTGGGAGCTGTACCACAGCATAACTCCTTTTCTGTCCAACACAGATTCCTGCAGCAAAGTTTTCCATCCCCAGGCGTGGGAACAGGGCTCTAGCCACAACATAGGTACCACTTCCTAGTCCTGCGGTGTGAGGAAAGGGACTGGAGTTGCAGGAAGGAAAGGGCAGTATTGGTGGTGCTGGCCAGCCCGGGGCAGTTGTGGGGAGGAACAGGGCTGTGGTGCTGCCCTGCATTCCTTTCTGCATGGGCTGGTGGGCAAGGCGGGCTAAGAAATGGGGTAGGTGTGTTACACCCTCCTCTACTCAGGGCTCTCCAGCTGCTACCCTCCGCCACTGCCAGTCGTTCTCTGAGGACTCTTGCTGGAAGGCTGGACCTTGATCAGCTGCATTTTAAAACGCAGGACTCGTCCTTAATCTGCTGGGATTAAAAAGGGACGCAGTTTTAGCTACTCCCCAGAATTTAGGCAGTGTAAACAAGTGTTTTGCAAACCCCAGGACCAACAACAATCTGTCGCTGTAAGCAAAAGCAAGCACTCCGCCCTGCTTGGGGCCAGGTTGTGAGCTTCACACTGGAGTTTGAGATCCCAAACCCATGGTCCCGCTAATGCTGGTGATTGTGCCTGCACCCAGCAGCCGGTGCCCACCCTGCGGGTTGCATAGGACTTGCCTACCAAGGGGTCTGCCTGCTTCCAGCAGAGTTGTTGCATCCTCTCACTGGTAGAAAAGTGAGAAATGAGAGGGAGGGCAGAGAGGCTCAGACAACAGTTCATTGGATTAATTTAACAGTACATTCTTCAGCAGCTTCAATCTGTTTCACAGCTTTTTCTGCCTGCCTGGCTTCCTCTTGTGGGATGGCCACCGAAGTCCCATCTCCACTGGCAGGGGATGCCAGGGAGCTGTCTCTCAGTCACTCTCACTGCCTGTTCCATGGGAGTCTGCCCCACGGCCGTGCTGCGGCCTGAGGCAGGCAGGCAGTGCTGTCCTGCCAGCGGACAGCGAGACCTTGCTGGCAGAGGACACGCTGCGGGCCAGGGGCTGCGTGGGGAACATAATGGTGCCTCGGGGTGCCTCCAGGAGCTGCCAGATCTCCCCCGAGGTGGAGCTGCCCAGGTACTCCCAGGGCCGGCGCCCGCTGCTGTCCCGCACCTGTACCTGGCACCCCAGCTGCAGCACCAGCACCTTGATGACGAGCTGGTGGCCGTGTATGGCAGCCAAGTGCAGCGGAGTGTACCCGCAGCCGGAGCGGGCATCCACGTCCAGGGCCAGCCCAGCGTGCTGTGCCGCTGCCGCCAGCTCCTGCAGGCCTGGCCCATCACCGTGCTTGGCCAGCCAGTGAAGGACAGTGAAGCCTGACATGAAGTCCCGCTGCAGGGCCAGCTCCGGCTCTTCCAGGAAGAGCTCCCGCACCCGAGCCCAGCACCCCGCTGACATAGCCACTAGCCAGGCGTGCTCCCGCTGCCCCAGTGGCACCAACAGCCCCCGGCTTGGGACATTCCTGAGGGACTTCTTGGAGGGCATGGTGCGGGGCTGCTGCCCGCAGTCATCTGGCAGCGATGGGGGGATGCCTTGCACCTCCAGCAAAGCAAGCTGGCACCTGATGCTCCTGAAGACAGGCAGCCGTGCTGGGGGGCTGCTGTCTGGGGCTTGGGGCCTGTTGGGGCCCTGCGCCGGCAGCAAGGACTGGGATGGGGCTGGCCCGGCAGGGGGTGGCTGCAGGGAGCGGGATGGGGCTGGCTGGGTGGGGGACTGCGGTGGGGATCGGGATGGGGGTGGCCGCACCCCGCGACCTGACGGCAGCGGCAGGGTTTGAGTTTGGGTTGGTCTGCTGGGGGTCAGCACCTTGGATCTCCTCGGCGGGGGTGGGGATGACCAGGTGGGAAGCTGCTGCAGGGACCTGGACTGTGATGGAGGCAGCCTGGCGGCCGGTAGCACATCTGGGCCCGATAAAAGCGGTGGGGATGGGGAGGGCCTGGCGGGGAGTACCTGCAGGGACCGCGACAGGGACAGCACCCCCGGGGCGGACAGCAACGGCGGGCACCGGCAGGGGGGTGGCCCCGGGGACCGGGATAGGGGCAGCTCGGTGGGGGACAGCACCCTGGGGCCCCGTGACAGCAGCGGGGGCTGGGATGGTCCGGTGGGGGGCCGCCCCCCTGGGCCTGCTGAGGGTGGTGGGGCCTTCAGCGGAGGCATCCCGGTGGGGGGCTGTGGCGGAGAGCGGGGCTGCGGCAGCCTGTCAGGGGGCAGCGCCCCCCGGGCCGATGGCAGTGG